AACCCAACTAAAAGTAAAACTACCTTCTCATTTGGAAGTACGCTTGTCACAGATAGTGTGGGCAGAAACCAAAGATAGTAAACATGAAGTCTAGCCAAAGACATCCACTGAATAGATGTTTTCTATTCAAGCAAATTGCAGCCATTTGCAGAATGCTGCTGCTTCAATTTGCAGAATGTTTTTGAAGAAATAATGCACATATGGAAATGGTCTGCCAATTATTGTGCTGTAGATTTGGCCACTGATAACTGATAATATTTTACAAGTTATTTAGTTTGTAATAAAAAATGGGCAGAGAATCCTTTAGTGTTCTCAGTACTGGTACTTTAATGTTGTAAGGTTTATTATATCTGTACCCATTGTAATAATCTTGTATCAGTCATTCTCTTATCTTTTCCATTGGTTTCTATACACAGAAGATCCATTTGATGATGCTGCTGGATTCATTATCACCACGTTTATGATCGCTCAATCAGACTAAGTCTAAACAAGGAAGACCGTAATATGCAGTACATTACCAAGGTCAAGCTCATTCAGTTCACTGGGGGGAAATGCTCTCGTAACTGAATGCAAAGTTCGGCCTTTTTTATTTACATTTAAGTATAACTATACAGTGTAAAGATAAGAAAAGTTTAATTTCAGAGTGTCACTAGAAGGCATGCCTGTTGTTGCAGATTGCTGGGCTGAAAGTGTTGGACTTACCAGGATAATTGGCTTTCAAGTGGCTGGTAGAATGCACAGTATAATGCAGTGAATATTAATAAGGAGGATAATATTTGAGGAGCTGCATTCATTTTGAGGTCTGTGACTTTGACTTGTGCCAAAGGAGCCATATCAGATCAGATTTAGCATAGTTGTTTTGATAAACTGCACATCAAATATTCATTTTAGTTGCAGTTAGCGCTACACAAAGCTGGGCATAGGGATTTTACCTGTCTCTCCTTTATCAGTGCATCCTCCAGCTCAGTGCTGTCATGTTGTTGCTCAACCAAACTCTTGCTCGGCATAAGGTCTGTGCAGTTTCCATGACCACCAACAATCCACCATTCTGTATGAAAAAAATGCATTGGTATGGCATGAAAAGGCATAGCATAGTGACTTTATCTGTTATAGAAAATGATACATATCATCACACATATATAAAGCATCTGGAACTGGCTGGTGTATGTTATGAGGTCTGACATTACTCCACTGTTTAGGGATGAATGCTGTGTTGTTTTAGGGATATGGGTGAGCTTGTAGTAAATTTACATTACATAATTTAGAGAAAACGATTCAAATCTGCCCTGCATATTGCCTCAAACATATGGCCACAGCTGATCCACCATCAGTGTCTCTGGATTCTAAATCGGTATCTGCATAGACCATGAAAAAAAAAGCATATCAGTCAATCTCTAATCTGTAAAGCTATCAGAAATGTTCAAACTATGGCCCGGGGTCCAAATGTGGCACTCAGACTAATTTTTGTTGGCCCCAATCCTCCAGCTGAATTGGCCCATCATTTTTACAGCAAATGTGCTTCTGGCACTATAACCTCAACAACATTACTATTCATTGTTATACAGACCTAAAATGATGTCTATGCCTTTTAAAGCCTCATTAAAGCTGCAGTGGCTCTGTGTAAAATGCATCTATCTGAATAATCCACATTATTGACACCAGTCTGTGGCCCTCTTCAAATATGTTTCAATACCTTTTGTGGTGTTCAGTATTAACACTGACACTTTCTCTGTTTTAAAGAAGCACAATATAACTTTTTTTAAAGGGGTGATTCACCACCTGCTTGTCTCTGTGGATATGCTATTGCATTTTCTGGAATGTTCCACTGTATGGTAAGAAATTTCTATGTTCAGTTTATTCACATTTTATTATTATATCTAAAAATTAGGGGTGGGACGAGATACATTTTCCACAAGACGAGATGAGACATGAGATTAAATACTGTATTCTAGAACTAAACTTTAAACATTGTGGAATAGTAGACTACTGTAGATCTTTAGCTGTTTGTATCAATATAATGCTTATCTCCAGCTACACAGCAGCTTTGTTCTATTCGCTCTGAAACACAGCAATCACAATAATGGAGTAACTGCTGACTATCACCTCTCATATCAGGTGGCAATGAATGGAGTGGCCAATATTTTGTTTTCCGTTACAGTTGAACAAACAGATGTGCGCTCACCTTCAACCAGGCCTTTGGAGATGAAACAGGTCAACATCAGCGGATATCTGGCAACAAGAGCCACGTGTGGCAAAGAGACAGCAACTATCCTCAGAGCATTTGTGACAATGACCTTTATCAACTGGTATGGGAGATTCAGTGGGAGCCCATTTAGAAGTAATATGCTTTTGAGGACGATGAAATTAAAAAAAACTTGTTGGAGATTTGAACAAAAGCCTGGGGTTTCATAGATAATAATGCAACTTCTAAGTGTTCAAAGACTCAAGGTTAAGAGTAGTACACAGCTTATTCAAGGTTGCAACAGGCAAGGCCATTTCAAAGGAAGGCCACTGGCAAAATGAAATATAAAAGACACTTAGTTAAAAGGAACATGTAGCTGCTAAGCTCTTTAGACTTTTAGACTGTTGCAATGGCATGTTTTGGTTTATTCTGTGGAAATTAAAAGGTCCTGTATTACACAAAATTGACTCATGAACTTTTAGTGATGCTGTTACCTCCTCAAAAACATACCCAGAGAAGTGTTTTATTTCATTCACCCATGTTTGAGTAATCCAGCATTAATAGTCTGTCTACATCTCTAATGCTCAAAATGCTCTGTTCCACCTTATGATGTCATGATGCAATAGCTGAAGTTAACACCTACCTTTTATTTTTCGTTCAGTATTATCACTTCCAGTATTACCCCATGACATCACAAGAAGTTCTTTTCCATTTGAGAGAACTCAGCCTAAATATGCAGGGTTGTTTAATGTGTTAATCATGTGTGAATGAAACGAAACAACTCCATATATGAGGAAACAACATTATAACATAGATCAGAGAACAGCATGATATGAGCCATTTAAGTTGAAGGGCTGCAGACGTCTAAATAATAAGGCTTGGATTGGATGGGCTAGCATAAAATGACCCCACTTTATGACATTCAAATTAACCAATAAGTGTTAAGTGCAGTTTTAACAGCAGTACAATATGTAATTCTCCAGAGAATAACAAATAAAATATCACAAGGACTAATAAGGTTAATGCGTTATCTTGAGAGATTGAGATGTCAGTTCACCTCAAATGGTTGCCAGAAATGTTTTAAAATCTGACCTATGCCAAGAAGAGTACTGCTGAATAAATGGTCTGCCAATTAAATACACAAGTGCTCAACGCAAGCTGCACATAAAAGAAGTTAAATGTATTCAGATGAGCAGATGGTTTCAGAAAGTATAGAAATCCGTCACAACTTAAACAAGTGCAAATTGCTCTGGGCAAATTGTGCCAGTCTTTGGAGATGGGATCCAGTGAGCTTAACAAAGTGCTTTACCATCTGGGCATAGTGGGTTATTGCACAAGGAGGCTATGAAGACTTACCTTTGGTATTACACTCACAATCAATTCTTTGTCAGAGTTTGTATTCAGTCATACAATTCTGAACAAAAAAATATACTTTAGATATGCTTTATGAAAAGATTCAAATAAGCTGCAATAATTGTTTAACTTTTCAAATAAAAAAAGATACAGATAAAACCCTTGCCCGAGCCCTTTCCCTGTTTATACACCACATCTTAAATTCTGACCATTTCAGCCACAGACAACATAATTGGACATAGCTAACCTGCTAGTCTCTGCCTTGCAAACACAAATTGCTTCGAGCTCCCGTTTTCAAATGACTTTACATTGGTAAATTGTCATTTTAGTCTTAAAAAAGTTTGGATTAGCCCACTCTATATATCCTGGGGGTTTTATTTCGACACTTTGTCCATTAATAAATTCCTGTTCCTAATGTAAAGCAGCTCCAAATTCGCCAGTTAGCCTTGTGAGCTTCATTTGACTGGAGCTGAATGCTATGGGACGTCACACTCCCTTAGTCCACTTCTTTTCTCAGTCTATGGTTTCAGCCTATCTGAAATGAAGTATATTTAACAATATGGTGAGCTTTTGAATAGGGACATTTTATGCGCTCTTTTCCTTCAAAGGAGCAGACGAACCCACTAGGGGGCCCCCTGAGCAGTTCCACAGTGGACTGTTTGATGCAACCATGTTGCAAATCGTATGAAAGAAGGAATTTTTCGTTAGACTCAAGGCTGGGAAAAGGAACATTCCCATGAAATAACTGAAGAATAACAGTCCTAAAAGTCTAGCCTGTTTTAGGGCTTTAACATATCTTGCAAACCATATTTCATCATAATATATCATAATATACATGCATACATATTTGTCACATTAGTCTGATCAGAAACCAAGTGTCATTTGGTGGAGTCAGTACTTCTGATAAAGTGCATACAAGCAAGTGACTAGAGACCAACAGTGATGTTGTGGTAGACATTTAAGACATCTCTGCTTGATGTTTTGAAATTGCAGGATAAAGGCATGTCTTCAATTAGCTCTGGTTCAATAGTATTATAAAGTGTCAATTTTAGCCCACAGCAAATGGTAATAATATTAATAATACATAACACTTCCACAGACACTCAAAGATGCTTTACAGGTCAAGACAAACACATTTCTACATAATTATCTGTGTTTCTACTTTATTCAGAAACGTCAATCGATTTTTGCCAACGTAGAGCTTGGGCACTCTTTTGAAGTATAACTATTACAAGGGTGACACCCAGAGGACAATTTGATGTATAGCAAGTTTAAAAAAACAAATTGCCAATATTAAATTATGTTACAATGGCCATAAATGCATTAAAATATCATAAAAGACAGTCCCAGAGAAAAACGATCTACTCCCATACGTCAAAGGCTGCGTCATGCGTCAACTGAGCGTCTCTATGGAACAGAGCAGGTGCGCTTCATTTAGACATGATTAACACCCATTATAAACGAGTCCTGGAGGGAAGGCATTGGGATTTTAATTCCAGAAAAACAACCACTGATTTATATGCTACGTATCTAACGTAACAGAAAAATAATTTTAAAAAGTCAGTCCTGCAAAATGACTGGGGAAATATCCAAAAAGAAAGTTAAGAGTTCTTCATCTGGTGAGAAAAAGACGAAAAGAAAAATAAAACGAAGAGAGACTTACGCAATGTACATCTATAAAGTTCTGAAACAGGTGAGTAACAGCAAACGACGCCATTATGAAAATCAAACCTGTGAAAGAAAACGCTCACCTAGTTACGCACCAATATAACCTATTTTTTTGTAACTTTATCTAACTTCTCCATATGCTACTATAATTTTTAGGACCACAGGAACATTTCAAAGTAAAAACCTCTTAACTGGGACACATCCAATCAAGAAAATACACAACTTTTACACAACAAATAGGGCATTACCTTTCATCTTTACGCACGCTTTTTAAACCACTTACCGAGCTTTGCCGTTGTTTCCTCACAGGTACATCCGGACACGGGCATCTCCAGCCGGGCAATGAGCATCATGAACTCCTTCGTCAACGACCTGTTCGAGAGGATCGCCACGGAAGCGTCCCGTTTGGCGCAGTACAACAAGCGCTCCACCATCACCAGCCGAGAAGTGCAGACCGCGGTCCGGCTGCTCCTGCCCGGGGAACTGGCCAAGCACGCCGTGTCCGAGGGCACCAAGGCGGTCACAAAGTACACCAGCTCCAAATGACTGACCTGAGCTTACGGACTTCTAAAAGGGGGGGGAATGATATCACTTTTTCTGCAAATTTTCTTTAAAGTTGGAAGTGTAATACGCTGAACTTGCCGCAAGATGGAGGAGTTGCGTCGTCGTGCTGGAGACTGGAAGTAGTTTGTAATGGCTGCACCGTTTACTACTATATAATTTCGAATATCACGGTTTTGTTCCTGGACATTTGTACAGTTTCCTCACAAATAAACACATCATCTTAGTGTTAAGTGTTATCTTTGTTCTTTTGATTCGTTAGCCGACATTTTACTGACATTTAAGGCCTAAATTGGACTTGTAAATTGCTGTAAGCTAACCATCCGATTATGGCTAATTATTTTCTGATTGGATTGACGCTCGTTCTTCCACCTGCAGGTTTATGGGGTAATTATCCACTCCTGTACAGACCCAGCTCCAGCTCCATCACATGCAACACCTGCTTCAGGCTTGACACCGATAAACTCCAGCAGGTGAAAAGTTAGACAGGTGGCGGAAATAAAAGAACAACTCGTGCTTGCTACGGTAAGAAATGGAGAACTTTCACTAGACTACACAGGCCTAGAAGAACAGACTATCAAAATGGGAGTGTCACTAACTCTAATCTTCATCACAGAAAATGCAGAGAAACGTTCTATCGTTTTTTGTTGCGATTTCTGACAGTGAAAAAATGGTGCCCGGAAGTGGGTTACAGCCAAATTTCTTAAATACGTGTATCAGTCATCCTTTTATAGGCCAGACATGTCAAACTCAGGCCCGGGGACAAAATTTGGCCCGTGATATTATATTTGGCTCGCGAGATCATATCAGATATGTTTTAGAGCTGGCCCAATGGCTACAGGTAGGCTATAGAGACATTATTTAAAATGTATTTTATATTGAGCTTGTTCTGGATTCAGTGTTTAAGCAAAACTTTTATTAAACATTTATTTTAATAAGAGGTTTAACATTACATATCTCGAAAGAAGAGAAAACATGCAGAATTTTTCAATAAATATTTAGTTTGGCCCATGACTTAGTCCCAGATTTTAATTTTGGCCCTCTGACTTTGAGTTCGACATCTGTATAGTATACAGATGAGGGTCAGCTAAAATTATTCAACTGCAGATTTTTGTTGGAATATAATATGGTTTTAGGTCCATAATTGAAATGATCAGGGTTTATATTTAGGAATTTACACTGTACTTTGCCATGAAATATTAGAAAAATAATCAATAGGAAAAACTGGCTCTTGCCGCTTCCTAGAAGTATGACACCATCACATTCTAGAATCTGAAAACTACTAATATTGGTGTTTCAAATATTAAAGTAAATTCCTCAATGTAAAACCTGATCATTTTTAATATTGACTAGGCCCAAGACCGTGCCATATTGAAACAAAAATCTGCAGTTGAACAGCGTTGTGGCCATACCAGCTTGTCAAAGTGTGATCCTGTTAGATCTCAGAAGCTAATTTGGGCCTGGTTAGTACTTGGATGGGAGATTGCTGGGAACATGAGGTGCCACAGTGGGGCGCCAGTCCCAGAATCTGTCACTGTGTCCTTAGGCAAAGCACTTCACCCAGATTGCCTAGTTATGAAAGTGGAGTGTGTGAGTGATGGTGGTAGTGGTCGGAGGGGCCGATGGTGCAGATTGCTCTGTAAAGCGTCTTTGAGTGTCCAGAAAAGCGCTATATAAAACTGATGCCTCATTAATGTTATTATTGGGTCAAGACGTTAAATTTAGTCAAATGAAACTATGTTAACAGCTTGAATTTGAAAGTTACCTTGAAGAATTAATAGCCAAATAAGTTGTTGGTTGGTTCTTGAGTCTCAGCTCCAGCCAGGCAGTACATCATTTTCGTGTCCCTGGGCAAGGCACTTGACGCATATATGAATCTAGTGGAGGGGCTGCTGCCACAGATTCACAGTCCCAAGGTAGCAGTAGAGTTTGTGAATGAACAAATCACAAAATCATAAAACAGTTGGAAAAGCCCTAGGCCTATAGAAGACTTTTGCATTATTATGACCCTCATTAACTTCCATTACAACATACATCTATAGGCTATTATGCAAAAGGAGCCCCATTCCATGTTAACTGATTGACTATGGTTCAATTATTTTACAAGCCTATAAAATGATGACATTTCCAATTCAATCCATCATTTAAGCATGCACTGGTCAAATTAGCCCACACAACAAAGGACATTGTTAACGCTCACTTCACCACAATTAATCTGCTGTGCTTTCTATTTTTGCTAATTAAAATTCCCGCAGCCCTCAATTAATAGGCCAAGCTAATGAGGTGTGGTCTCTGTCACCTACGCAAAGTTATTCATACTGATGGATTTGTCAGAAAAAAAACACCTCAACATTGCATCCTTGTTTTGCATCCTAATCAGGTTTTAAAAGACAACACTGCCAGTTGAATAGTACTTGATTACATGATAATGACAGCAGCAGTTGCACTAGTCCAATCTGCATAAATAAGCCAACGGATAAAGGTCTCTGTAATTAGGCTGGTGTTTATATCACGCTTTACATACTTTTATAGAAATACCTTGATCCAACCTCCAAGCTCCTCTTTATATTACACCACTGCTTACTATGTGGTGTGCAAAAATATATATCATGATACTAGATTCGATGATACAGTATCGTCATCGCACGCTGCTGTATCAATATATCGTCAAGAGGTGTTTTTTTTGTGACCGCACTACAGTTTTGTTGCTTAAGTAGTAGAAGGAAACTTGTTTATGCTATACACTTATTCACTGTTTTGATGATTGTATGTTTGGTTCTTAAAAACAGCAGCATATCACAGAGTATCATGTGCAATATACTGATTATCGCATGTATCACCATATCGTGATAATACCGTATCGTGAGCCATGTATCGAGTATCGTATCGAATCGTGAGGGACCTTGTGATTCCCAGCCCTACTGCTGACTGTTGTGGTTGAACCCATTGGAGCGGTTTGTTTGTATCCTTGGTAACAACAGTAAATCTACAAACATTATTTTGAGGGCCAAACAATGTTTTTCATGCTTTTGACTTTATGATTATCATAGTCATTTGGGGACAAAATATCGCAATAACTATCGTACTGTGAGAGGTATATTGTGAAAATACCGTACAGAGATTTGGATATCGTTACATCCCTAGTAATTTACTTAAGAAGATTTTAATGTAGATACTACATTTGAGAGCAGGTATCTGTACTTTCTACTCCCCTACATTTTTTAATAGGACTGAAAAGTCAAAGTAATTTCATAATAGTTTGAAACCTGCAGAAAAGGCTGAAAGCTTATTCTTTTAACACGGTCATAGTCTGTGCAAAAATATACAAATATACAATCAAATATATAATAAAAAAAGGACATGATAAAAATATGGATTAAATTGTTTCTACTGAACAAAATTTAGCACAAATCTTTATCAAAATCATTACATTTTAAGTTTTAACCCTCTCAGGCTCAAATAAATTTTTAGTATCAGGAAAAATCTGATATTTGGGGAAATTTATAATATGGGATAGTAATATACAATTCTGACTTTTTTATCCTTTGTAAACAAAAAAAGTATTTTGCACTTCTGGCAGGCCGTTTGCGTGTAGCCATTCTTGCACAGTCTGCATTGCCCACGTTTATCAGCATGGATGGGAAAAAAGGCTCCTGAGTTTAAAAAGCTCATATAATATGGATGTGGAGTAAGTAGGTACTTGGAATTTAGCTGTTGCAAATCTGCAACGCCTGCCTGGAGAGGGTTAAAGATGTCAAAATCTGCATGACATACATTTACAGTTTACTCTTAAATAGTACATTTTTAAACAGCCACTTAAAGTATTTTTCGGACTATGAGTCGCTCCGATAAAAAATTGCTTAATGAAGAATTACAAAACATAACTTGTATCGGACTATAAGACTGACTTTTTAGGGGAAATTTATTTTATAAAATAAGTGACCAGGAGCCGACATTTCATCTTGAAAGGCAAGTTATAGTAATAACAGAAAAGAGAACAACAAGCTGTTTACGTAACATATGAACAGTTATTCAGATAATTATAGCTTTAACAACAGAACAGAACAACTTTACCAAACTCACTCTCACTCCAAATCACTAAATCCATTGAATTCTTCATCCTCTGTGTCACTTCTGAGCAACTCCACGATCTCCGGAGGTAAACAGAGTGCCACTTCCTCTTCTGTGTGGCTGTCGTCAGACTCAGCATCAGTTCCAGTTAGAATTATTCTGGCCTTTCTGAATCCCAACAAGATGGTTTCGGTTATCTTTTTGTTTGTTTAACTGTAAAAGTTTCAGTGGTACAGTAGTAATGGTGCAATCGACTAACATGATACAGACAGCAGCTCTTTCTGCAGAAGACATGCACAGTAGAGTGAAGTGACAGTGGTACAGGAGTAATAAGAGTAGCAGATACGGGCACACAAGCCTAGAGCGCCCTCTCACAGCTGTCAGTGTGAAAAGTTTAAAATATAAGTTGCACCATAGTATAAGTTGCAGAACCACCCAAACCATGAAATACAGTAAGTGGATTTTTTCACGTGATGTGATACTTTTACTTGAGTAATTTTTTGCTCTCATATCTGTACTTTTACTTAAGTAACAAAATTGAGTATTAAGTGTAGGTGTAATTAGGCAAGTATTTAAATCACACTTTACAGACATTTCTAGAAATACCTTGATCTAACCCCCAAGCCCCTCAGTCTCTCTGCTCTATATTACACCACTGCTGACTGTTGTGGTTGAACCCATTGGAGCTGTTTGTTCGTATCCTTGGTAATGACAGCAAATCTACAAACGTTATTATGAGGGCCATACAGTGTTTTTCATGCTTTTGACTTTGTTCGTGATTATCATGGTCATTTGGGGTTCTGTGTCTTCTGCATATGCCTGGTGGTAGTAGTCATCTCCTTTAGGCAGAGTGCAACGCATTATAGATATCACATTAGTGAGCGATATACTGCGGACTGGGTTGCCTCGGCTTGTTTTTTGTATCAGTGTGCGTCATTAGAAAATGTTCCACTTGGCAGGGAAGCGCGTATTAACTGCAGCCACAATGAAATGAGGTTGTGATAGATGGTTAAAGTTATACAGGACTATTAGGTTGAAATATGAAGCTCTCAATTGTTGTGATGAAGCGCAGGGCTGTTTGTGCCGCGATCAGTGCATTGAGAGGCAATTGGAATCTCGCAAAGACTGAGACAATGCATTATAGATATAGAGCATGCAAAAG